CAAATCAAGTCTTTCTCCATATGCTTTCAGATCAGTTAATTAGCAGACTGTGCTTATGAGAAGTGAATCTTCAGTTAATTTTATCAATGTTGCCGCTTCAGTTTACGCAGATAATGTTCATCTTTCTATTCAGGTACAAAAAAAGTGTTATCCTTATGGCAAGTTTGAGAAGTAGAGCAGGAATCAGTCTGTTGTCAGTTCCGTGAATTCAGTGAGGTCAGTTAATTTGACCCTATGAAAAGGAAACGTTTCCATTATGCTGTAGTTTATCAGTTTCATGCAGCCAGCCATACTGTTTTGTTGTGTGTGACACTAATATCTGACTGTATCTGTCTCTTGCTCTCAAACTCTCCTGGCAAAGAGAGAGTTAAGCGGATTATAGTGCATGGAGAAGTGTAGGAAGTATACCCACCAGCTTAGACAGCAGAGGAGGGTGGTTGTAAGGTAGTTTGTTGTTTCCTTGCACTGTACACAGCTGTTTTTGTCTGTGTCAGAGCTTCACCAGAATGCTTCTTAGCTGCTCTCGTGCCCTAAGAAATTGGTCTATGAACTGTGTAAGCATTTCAAAATATGAGTAAAACTTTTAAAAGGATGAAACATTGAACAATTTCAAGTTGAAAAGTAATTTTTAAAATTTGAATTTGTCAATTACTAGAAAATGTTATTTTACACAGAAATGTTGGAAATTAATGAAACGTTATCAAGATTTTTCCAGTTTAAAATTTTGTCCTGTGTCAGACATTTAACATTACATCTGCTGTCTCCTATGTGATAAAGTAGTTGCTTGTCTGTCAAAAGACAACAAATTTCTGATGTTGCTGCAATCTTCAGGAAAAGCTATTCAGAAGAATCAGAAATTCTCAATGTATTTGGGACTTGAATTGAGCATCTCTTATCTTCCCAAATTTTTACTCCTGTGATTATGAGCAGGAAGGAACTGAAAGATGCATCCTTCCTGTTCTGCTACACATTGCATGTTATGCTGTAGGAGAGACGCCAGTCTGGCTCTGTTAGTCGATTCTTGCAGTTGATTAGACTTAGGTTGTTAATGCAGTACTGACAGGAAGGCAGTACTCATGACTCAAGCTGGTTGAGTGCAACTTTTTTTTTTTTTTTTTTAATCACCGATTGTTGGAGGATTCCTTACGGTTAAAACTTGACTTGCTGGAGCACAGAGCCTCAGTTGTTGTGAATGTGACTTGTGCATTGCTATGTATTTTGCACACAAATTTAAAATTGTCTTTTAATTCTGAAAATAATTCTTATTTTCAGGGCACAATATAGCCATCTTTGCTATGTCTGCAAGACTAAAATTTTTACTGTCTTGTTGTGCTAAAGCAAATTTCCTGCTAAAGATAGCTTTTAAATGGATAGTTGCCTAAGAGAGAGATACCTTGAAGTGGAAAACAGATCTTTGAGAATACTTGTCTATCATACAAGTGATTTTTAAAGCTTTGTATTTCTTTGTTTTTATATTTATGACACTGGTTGGTGTTAGGATTTGTCCAACCCAGTAGTGCGACGGAGGTGAGGCTGCTGCAGCTCTGTGTCCCTGGATCCAGCCAGTAGCAAAGCTAAGCATTTGTTTCCAATGAGTACACATGCCCGCAGTGCATGCATACATGGCTGGTCACAAAGATCAACACAGAGTAGATGGCATTTGCACAACCGTGACCAACACAAGTGGCCTGATCCTGTTGCCTTCTCTGGTTGATCAGGGTGAAAGGCTTTTAGTGAAAAATATGTTAATGTATGCAATGTGGATCCCTTCAGGAACTGGCCTTAGACACTTGGTCTGTCCAGGACTGGCTTCTGCTGCACTGGTCTCCTCTGTTGCTGGCCTGGGCGTGCAAGCCCGTACAGCCCCACTTCAGTTGCTGGTACTCAGACCTCTTGGACATGCACACACATGCATGGATCCCTCTAGTTGCTGGCCTTACCCTGTGTGGCAGCTGGCCATGGGATTGCGTCATGCAAAATGGGTCTTTCAGATAGCTGGTCCAGACCTATGGCCTTAACATTAGACAACCCCCAAACCCCAAGGCCTCTCTGATGGCTGTCTTGGACCTTCTGGTCCCTCCAGTAGCTGTCCCTCAGACCCCAGTCTCTTGTTGGCTAGGTTAAGAGAGAGCTTCTTTCAGTAGCTCGGACTCTCTGATCTCTGAAGAGTCTGGCCCAGCCTTATGGCCTGACACCTGGCTCCCAAGCCTCTTGCTCTACTTGCTGGCTAGTCTGGCTTGATACTTGCTGGTAGTTATGTGCACCAACATGCACACCCACACGCTATGTACACACCCATCTCTTCAGTTTCTGGCGTTGCAGGCTCATGGGCCCCTATGCTCTGTGGCCGCCTTTTCATTTGCTGGCACTTGGAACTCTGTGCACGCATATGTACACGAAATGGAGCCCCACTTCAACCAGGAAAATAGAAATTAAGTTTAATAAGGAGACCAGTAATCAAGCACACAACATGGTCAGTCATACAGACTGGCAGCCTGTTTACATGTGACTGGACCCTCTTATCATCTCTCCATTTTTGCATCCTTGTTCCTTCTCAGTGCACCTTGATCCCACAGTGAGCCCCACAGCCTTGCAGGCAGTAACCCCTGTAGGCAGTTGGTAAGGTGGTCTGGAGAGCCTCTTTTTGTCTCATATGGTGGATCTTCTGCCTGACCCATGTGCTGACTGCTCTCCCACATTAGGGCTGGGTCAGGGTGTTCCGTGTGCCTGGGGTTAGGTTGCTGGGTTTCCTTCACCTGACATTACTTTCTGCTTTCCATTTGTGGAGACTGGCCTTTAATCACATAACCTGTAATGGATTTTAGAAAAATATCCCTCCCTAATGCTGAAGGTGACTATTCCTGTCTGACTAGTAACGTCGCTCAGGCAACAATGACTGTGCCTGTTTGATGAACAGATAAATGCATCTCCCTAGCTTTGTAAAGCACTTGCGGCACTTACTTGTAGTCTAAGCTCTCAAGTTTTATTTCAAGTAAAAAAAATTAAATATTTGTGAGAGGCATTTTGAGTTATCTTACTGTGAATAGCAAGAAGAAATTGCTGTCCAATGATTCCAATCTCTTTATCCTTTGTATGTGAAAGCTTTATGGAATATGGTAGCATATGGTCAGTTGAGGGAGACTTCTGTTGGCAGGAAAAAGTCTGAGTCTAACATTAGGTAAATCACATACAAATGTTACCAGGATACATATGTGGTTCAAACATGACATTTATGAATCAAATCCAAGTCTAACAACCTTGTCATCGCACTATATGCGATACTGGAAAGGCCTAATGTGTCAGATAAATGACTTAGGCATTATTCAAGCTTCCCTTTTGCCTTGGTAGTCGATAAGAAAAACACGGCTCTTGACAGCTGGAAGAGGAATCCCTTGTAATAATAAGATAATAATCTTCCAAACCAGGAAACTTGTTTTTGAGAGATAGTCTATTAATTTATCCTAAAAGTAATGAAAGACAATTACTTCAAAAAGTTACACAGTGGAGATAGTAAAGATTGTTCTTCAGATAAGCGCAAGGTCTTAATGTGCCTTGAAGTTTTTAAAGAACTTCAAAAGCCACGAAGATTAATGTTAGAAAGAATCTGGCAGAGAGAACTTGTGGGTTTATACCATTTACTTTCCCCAGAGGCTTGCAGATATCCCAGTCACAATCTACATTATCCTTTTTTTTTGTACTTGGATATTTATTTGTGGAGACCAGTCTTAAGTCATGAGATAGAATTACTTGACTAATTCTTGCAAACACATGTATCTACAGGATATGAGGATTTCCTGCAATTTCTACCAAAGAACTGCTCCACCCCCTCAACACTTAATGAGGCTTTGTGAAATAGTGTATTTATCAGGTCATTTTTTTCAAGTTTTGAAAAAAGAATAAATTACACAGTTTACCATTTTTGATGCTATGTTAATCTGTTAAATCGGTTATTTGCAAAATATTGGCCTTTACAGATATCAGATAACCTGACCAAGATGATGCTGATTGATTTCAAAATTGCAAAGCCAACTTCCAGTAGAGTTCCGAGATGTAGTCCTTAAATAGCTTTTCATCATCAAGCTTTTGTGTGGGTTTTCTTCTTTCACATGTGTTTCATTCGTATGTACCAACTTTCAAAGGAGGATAGTATTGGCATTGTGTCACTAGGGCTGGAAGGGGGAGCCTAGGAAGTCACTCAAGAGTATAGCCCTTGCTTTGCAATATCCTGCTTAGTCTTTTAAGCTTTTAAATCATGATGTTGATTTCCTCACTAGAACCTTTGAAAACACTCTTCTCTTGCTCTTTTTAATTATTTCCTATGTTACCATTGTATAAAGTGTAGTGGTGGACTAGTAAAACCTGCTTTTTTAGTTGTTAGTGTATCACAAGTCAATAAATTAGTCTTGTCACTAAGATGGAGAAGGAAAACTTGACAGATGTGATTATTTCTGTACTGCATTAACCTTTTCTTATGAAACAATGGAATTCATTGGTGCTGAAAAGCCCTGTTTTTTGTTAAAAATCAGCTTTGCAGGTTTGCACCGAGCTGTAGATGAACAGGGATTGTGTTTAAGTGAACAATGTAACTTTGAAAATGACATGTTCTACTCGCTCCTCTGCTTGAAGCAGACAAAGATATTGAAAAGATGAAGGAGTTCTTTCCAGTAGGAAGTGTTGCCATTCACTCTGTTACCTATGGATTTAGGCTAAGCCAAGGACATAGAACAGCCCTCAAAAATTCTAGCCCCTCTGTTTTTCTCACTGTGAAAATACATGGAGAGGAAAGGCTAAAGGATGGGGACCATTCTTCCTTAGAAAGTATCTTCCTGGTTGGCACCTAATACTGCTTCTTTTGTATTACCCAAGTTCCATTACATAGCCAGTCTTCTGCAGGTAGTTAATCATTCAAGTTATGTTTGAGCTAGAAAATAATCCATGTAACTTTGCCATAAAATCAGTAACATTTATATAGGTTATTTTTGTCTTATCCTGTTAGGTGTAAGAATTTGTCTGTATCTTTCTGGAGTTCCTATTGGATGCTGCCCTCTGATGTTTGTGGAATGAACTGCTTTTGGGAAGCTGCTTTTAGGTAGGATCTATTATTAAATGGTATTTTATTATTTGATTGCAGACAGGTGTAGCTGATAAGTATTTTTTGCTCTTTAGCAAGGTGACAAAGCAAAATATTTTGATTGCTTCACATGCATTTCACCTGCTTTCATTATGGTTGCTTTTAGCTGGGCTTTCTCTTGTTCTGTTATGTTTTTAAAATCATAGACACGTGTTATTACAAAGAGTAGATTTTTTTCAGTTATGTTGCTTCATTAAATAGAGACTTGCTAACATTGATAAAAAGTCTCTCAGAATATAATATGAAAAGTTACTGATGAGTTATTTTGATAAATAAAACTTGTTGCACAGTAATACTCATGATGTAACTTGTAATAAAAACTGGCAGATATGCTTAGTAGTTAAGTTCAGAGGTTTTTTAATTCAAGTTACATGTTGTATAGAATTTGAGGAGGATACTTCAAAAGCACTGCAACAACCATTTTAGAATGTTATTTTAATATACAGTATGTGAAAACACAGACTGTGGCCTTAAAGTTGTATCTTTAACAATAAGTTTAAATGTTTTGAGGTGGTTGTGCAGATGCTTTAGGCTGTCAGATAACAGAAGTACCTTGAAAAGAAATGGAAGAAGCCTTAAGCTACTTGACAGGTACGTTCTCTAACCTGCATAGTCCTCTTCAGTATATAACTAAAGTTGTAAGTTAACTTTTCATATATTTAAAATTTTACTGATCGTGCTTTGATATGGCTGTCTCTTTCTCTTAGTCTGAAGCTTGGGTATTTCTAGGAAAGAAAAGGAAAAAAAGGTTTAGCTTCACAAGACTTAATGTATTTTTTAGAATTATGATTGTGGAAATGGGGGCTGGATCTGTCCCCTATTCCTCTCTGTTTCTGTACTATCAATGCTTTTTAAGCTTGTCAGATGCCAAGAAGTTACTTGAAGAGATGGCTTAGATTGATTTCTAGTCTGTTAGTGAACTGCACCTGTAATTTGGGACTGCTGCATCTTTCTCCCTGCCCTTGGTAGCCAATGTGTCATCCTGTTTTGGTACAGGGATTCATCTGACTTTTCCTTAGACAGGTTTAGCTGTCTGAATGGACTCAATTAACTTTTTTTTCGCCCTTAAAGGTCAGGTTTTGGGAGTTTAGTTTTATGAAGTTAAGCATAGCGGGGTAAACCAAATGTCAAAGCTGTCGTGAAGGGTGTAGGGGCTTAACACATGCTTAGTGGAGGGACAGGATGTGATTGTAAGCTTCATGCGTCCGTGGACATCTGAGCCAGTCTAACAGTTATGTAGTGCAGAAAGAGGAGAGGGTCTCACTGTCTTCTGATCCCGTTGCCTGTGGTGATGTCCATTAGCTCTCCGCAAGACAACGTAATCTACTAAAACAGCAGAAAGCTTCCTTTCTGAATTTTCTGCCAGGCCTAGGACAAGTGGGAACCAGAAGTGGAGAAACCCCGTGCAGTTCCTTTGCACGTACCGTAAGCTGTAACTTGTATTATTCTATTTAGAATGCTGTATATGGCAGTGAAGACAAGTCTGTTGAAGTATGCATTGATTATGGCATTACTGGGCAGGTGCAGTTTCTTTCATGGTGACACAGTTGTCAAGGAGAACGCCTAATGTTTGTGAAATTTCATGTTCATATATTTTGAAACTGGAAGAAAAATAGTTGCTTAAATGTGTAAAGGAGATGAGGTGTTCAGATTAATAATTTCTGATTGAGTTTGATTATTTTATCAATATACTACTAATAAATTAATCCCTATTTGTTGTGCTGACTCTGGGGCTTGTCAAGTTCCTCAGTGAGCTGCTCTAACTTCAGAGGGCGTCCCCTTGCCTCCCCCAAACTTTATTTATTTCTTGCTCTGTTTGATCAGTTGGTTTCAAAGAGGTACAGTGAGTTTGCATAAAGTGAAGAGGTGGGGAAGATGGCAGAGAGGAGGAGAAAGTGCACCCTCTTTGGAACCTGCTGCCTAAGCCTCATTTCCTTTTATGTGCTGGAGTAACACAGAAGATAGTTGCAGTTTGGTTTCAGCTTTGGATACAAGTTATAACTTTGTTTGACTCTCAGAAAAAGTATGTGCATTGTACTGAGTGCACAGAGGCTGAAGATCTTTGATATTGTCTTATGCTTCAGACGTGATACTTAGTAGTTAAGTTTGCAGCCAGATTTTTGGAGGAAGAGGAATGAACTTAATTCCGTGCAAGTTTATTGACCACAGCAAATGAAGTCTAGCATTCTTGTTTTCTGAGATTGTATGTGTAGGGCCAATTCAAGATTCTTCATGAAGACAGAAAAGCTCTTGAAATATTTTTCTGTAAAGAGGCAACATTGTGGTTCTAAATTGTGTGTCTTTTGAAGTAGCAAGGAGTGAGACTTCTACCATAGTGTTTTTTTCCAAATAATTTGATCCTGGGTTGACTAAGCGTTTGCGTTCTTGTTAAGTGCAGTTGTTGTAGTGAGGTGCAGTATAAAGCAGGACTCTGAAAAGACTGGAATAGGGAGAGGGATATGGCAGAAACCTAAGAGTTACATAGCTGGTTGAAGTCTTAGGATAGCTAACTCCACTGCCTATAGATGTGCCAACACAGTAATGGGAGTTCCAATGAGTTTGCTGTTAATAGAAATGGCAGAGTCTGGTCATTGAACTGCACTAACACTTACCTTGAATCTTCTATTTGGCCTGGTTTAATTCATAAAAAGGGAACAACACTATTTATCCCGATTGCAAATCAGTTTGTGAATGGAGATTATGGTTTTCTATTCTTATTGTTTCGATAAACCAACCAAATGAGTTTGTTCAGAGGAGCAGATCATATATCCATAATTTCTTTGCCAACAGTAGATTCATAAAATATATCTGAGCAGTAGAATGCCTCCTTTAACTTTGCCGGTGAAGTTTTCCAAACATTGAAAGGTAGTCCTTCAGCTTTTGGATTTTTAAGTCTTTTCTTTGAAAAAACTTAACTTGTTTTCCCATTGGCTTTTTTCTCCTGCATATCAGAACCACAGGGATTCGTTTATCCATGAGATAAAGAACTTGGCATAGACATTTTTGAAATGCAGCTTGCTACTCATTTCCTCTGAGTAGCTGTAAGTGCGTAGTGTGAAGTGACAACTAGTGTTTTGTGGATTTATAGGACTCAATTTCATATAATAGAAATGTTGGAGACCTACAGAGGAATCTGGAAATTTTTTAGGAGAGAGGTGTATGTATAGACTTCAGTATGACTCATGTTATAGCTAATTCAACATCATTTTAAATCGATGAGCTCTGAGCAGTTGCTGATTCTAATAATGGATAATAAGGATCTTGTCTCTTTAAGTTAATCAGTAAGATCTATTGCCTGTGCTGTATGTAGGAAGGATTTTGGAGCTATTCTGCCCCCACATTTTTTATTACCATTCTGATTATCAGCATTTTTGAGACAGAACATCTTGTGTTGTACTTCTGGTACAGAATTTTTCTTGTTAGGTTTTGCAGTGATAGAGGAAGCATGGGATCACTTTTTCATATAATGGTACAGATTTTATAAAAAAAATTAAAATGCTGTTAAAGATAACATGAGACTCAAATTTTGCATTATCTAGATGATGCGTATCTTTTCTGGTACACCTTCCAAGGTGCCGAGTGTCATCTAGCTGGTATGGCTGCTTATTTTCTACTGAGACTGATTAGGAAGAACTTCTTAGGGGTCATTACTATAGCTATGTGACCTGCCTGATATCAGTTCTTGGATGTTGCTTCTAAACTGGTTTTAACTTGTGTTGCAAATTGAAAAATAAATGGCACTTTTTTTTTCTTTTGGTATATTGGGGTCCTGGTGGTGTGGATATATTTAGATGAATTATGACAGTCCTGAAAAACAGGAATTCTCCTCTAAAATAGCTAGTTCATTGGAGGAAGGGGCTTCAGACTTGTATAGTAGATTTTTAAGTTACTAATATATTGTAACTTCAAACCTAACATAATTGAGGTTGTAGTTGAATAGATGACATTTGGACATTGTATGCACTGGTCTCATTAGCACGCTTTTACAAAAGGAGCTCTGAATATGACCTATTTTTGATTCAGTGGAGTAGTAGAAAGTTAGAAAGCTGAGTAAAAGCTAGAATTTTCATCACTTCCAAATCCAGATAATTTCTGTAGTTACCTTGATCCTACTTCTTATAAATATGGGAATGATTTCACAGTTGCATTTTAATCAGCGTACGTTTTGTTACCTTCTCAATCTACCTATTTGCTTTTCTTTTTCTGGTGACTAAAGGCTGCTGGGTTAGGCTCCTTAATCATAGAATCATAGAATGGTTTGGGTTGGAAGGGAACTTAAAGATCATCTGGTTCCTACCCCTCTGCCGTGGGCAGGGATACCTTCCACTAGACCAGGTTGCTCAAAGCCTCATCCAGCCTGGCCTTGAACACCTCCAGGGATGGAGCATCCACAGCTTCTCTGGACAACCTGTTCCAGTGCCTCACCACCCTCACAGAAAAAAATTTATTCCTGATATTTAATCTAAATCTACCCTCTTTCAGCTTAAAACCATTACCCCTCTTAATGGTTGATAAGTACACCATCTGTACTGTATTTACATATCTACTGTTTTTTTTTTTTTTTTTTTTTCTGAGGCATATCATGGTACCAGGTTTGAAATAATGCAGGTTGATTATATGAAAATATTTTCCCTACCTGTTTGATGCTGTCAGAAAACTTGTATGGATAAAATGTTTGCACTGGTAGTGTGGTTAGCTTTTTATACTGAAGAAGAAAACACATTTGCAATAGGCTTCTATTTGTTCTTTTTGTAAAGGGTAAGCAATGTTACCACAACTGTACCTGGCAACCTAGTCCGTTTGGTTATAATATCAAGGAAGGTTAGTTTAATTATGATGTGGAAGGACTGAGAGACTTTACTAAGCAACCTTGTTTAGGAATCTGAATATTACATGCCTTGTGTGCATTACAGACCGTATGGAGAAAGTTCAAAGAAATACGAGGCTGTAGCTCTGTC